GCTGAGGATCAGCACCCGGAGGGTGTTGGCAGCAAGATGGAGGGTGAGTGCCTCTGCCTCCGAGTCTGTGTGTGTGTGGGAGGGAGGTGGGAGAGGGCTTGGGGTCTGGCTGTGGTGCTGGGACTCTGACGCACAGTGCCCAGCATGGACTTCTGGGGAGGCAAAGGTTGAGCCAGCTTGCTCTGGGGAGCACGTCGCTCTCAACCAGAGTCCCCTCGATGGCTGCGGTGATTCGTGGGCCAGTGGTTCTTCCTGCAGAGGGTGGTGTACAGTAAAGCGCAGCTGATGCCGAGCCCAGCTGGTGCTGTGACCCATCTCCTCCATTACTCCGTTACAAAAGCAGAGCAGGCCCTGGGGGAGTCGAACAGCCTGGCCTCTTGCCAAGCAGGCACACATCTGCCCCAGCGCTGCTCTGGAGGCATCGTCATGGAGCTTTATCTCCCCATACCCTCGCCATGGCTGCATGCTAGCTGGGAGCATGTGGGGCTCAGTTCCTTGTAGCAGAGCAGTGGCCTCTTGGGGCCCCCACGACCTCTTCTCCACCTTGTCACCACCTCCCCATCTGTTTCCCCTGCTGGCCTGTCAGCCAGCATAGTGGGTATTGCTGGCTATAGAGTTGGGGAGCCTTGCTGGGCCTGCTGTTGCTTGTTTTTGGGGCTGCATGGAAGAGCTGGACTTGGGGCTTGTGCATGGGGCGGGCCACTTTCCTGCTACCATGTACTCTCGGCCCCAAGAGGCTGTGGAAATGGGTCCTTGGAAATGCATGGCCTTTTCTTCTGGCTGGTGCCCTGCAAGCCACAAGCTCCCTGGCCCAGTAGCCCATGGGGTGAAACTCAGTGCAAGGATCCTGTGTGAGAGTGGGGGGAGACCTTGCTAGCCTTGTGTGCTGGGCTGACTCATTGGCCTCCCCTTGGATCCAAGCGTGACATTGGGGCCACTGCTGACTTGAGCACCAGCAGCTCCATGCACAGAAAAATGCGCCTGAGCTATGCCGGCACGTGAGATGCAAGCCCAGAGCTGGCTGGAGGCTGCGGGGCTGGGTGCAGGGAACGCACGGCGGTCGTCACTTCTGCCCAGGCCAGCTCCGGCAGCGAAGCTGGCTGTGCCGTGTGTGGAGAGGCTGGCTGTGCTGTGTGGCAGCAGTACCTGTGTGCAGGTAGGGGCAGGGAACCGGCCTGCAGCTTCCTGTGCAGTCTGGCGTCCAGATGCCTTTCTCATGCCAACTGTGCACAAAGACCTTCCCCCACAATCTTATTTGTTGGGAGCCTCTATTGCCTTCAGACGCCTTCAGCTGCTAAGGAACCAGCCTCATGGCTCTTCCTTTCGTGTTTCACTGGGACTGAAACAGCTGAGGTTTTAAAGCTAGCAGGTACCGAGTGTGAGGACTTGCCATGGGCACGTGGAGGGTTTGCAGTCAGGCAGGCTTTGGGGATTGCAAGTGCCTCACGTGTGTGCAGGGGCTGGACCTGGCTTGTGGGGGCATCTGGCTTCAGCTCCACATGGTGTGTAGGCCTTCTTGCCCCCACTTTGGCCTGCAAAGGGCTACCTGGAGCTCCCACATTCCTCTCTGCACTGTGGAGTCCCTCCAGGAGGGGCTGAGGAGAGAAGCGCGTGTGCTGCTTCTGTATGAGGCGCAGTCATGGCGTCGTCCAGGGAAGCTGCTTGCAAGCAGACAGCATCTCCAGAGCTCTCTGCACTGTGGTCTGCCCCAGCCCTGCTCTCAGCCCTTGGCGTGCCCCAGCCCTGTTGTGTGCCTGTGTTTTTGTAATGACTTCAGCTGTTTTCTTATAAAGAAGCGTGTCCCAGGCCAGTCCCCAGACTGATGAGATGGCCCCAGCCTCCTGGCTGTGGCTAGGATCAAAGGACAGCAGAGACCCTGCAGTCAGTGAGGCCCCACAGGCCTGTAGAGAGCTCAGCATTTGGCTTTAAACTCCCCTTTGCATCCTTCGTTCTCCAAAGGCAGCCATGCTGAGTGGTGGCCATGAGGCCTGGGGAACCCAGGCACTGGCAGGAAATTTGGTTTCAGCATTTGCTCAGAGCCAGGTGCCAAATGCAAGCGGAAATGGGGAAATAAATTGCTCTGAAAACAACTTTGTACCCCCAACCTCTGCTCCCCAGGATGTCACGTGTAGATGGGGCAAGGGGGGAATCCCCAGACCTCCTTGGCGTGGCACATTCGGCTGTGTGCGGGCAGGCTTGTGCTTTAACTGCCTGGCGGGGTGCTGGGCCGGGAGCAGCTGCACATGTTGGCTGGGGCAGCATCCCTTCTTAATTTAAATGGCGTTTGACAGGCTGTTAATCTTTGACACGGTTTCCTTTGGGCATTGTGTTTGGGAGGCACCGAGGGGCTTGGAAGCAGAGTCGCTAGGCATGGGACGGGGTGTGGGGCAAGTCGACACCAAGCAGGCTGTCTTGGGGGCCCATCTCTGAGCGAGAGGATGAGGAGGGGGAGCAGCTCCTTCCTTGTTCATGTGCTCTGTAGGGTGCCGGCGGCTGGCTGCCTCTCCGTAAAAAGCTTGCTGCACAGAGGCAGCTTTAGAGAGAACGCGCAAAGTTCTTGCTGTGATTTGATGTGCTGAATTGGGCCTCTGGCCCAGGTGTAGGGTGGCTGTGTGGCTACACCGCCATTAGCTGGAACAGACGTGGCTGTTCCTTCCCTCTCCGAGTGGACGTGGCCTCCGAGTGCAGGCTTGTGTAGCAGGCAGGGCAGCCACGGGTCAGCGCAGGGGTTTAGCTAGCCCACACCTGCTTCTGAGGGGTAGGGAAGGGGCTGGGCTAGACATGGATGAAACGTGGTGGACTGGCATTGGAGAAGCAGAGAAGCCTCTTCCCAGCCTGGCCCCCTTCACATGTCTGCAAGGCCCTGCCCACTGTAGCTTGCCCCACCCAAATTCTGCCCCTTTGCTCTGCCCTGGTGGGTTCATCGGTGATGTGCTGGGTACCACTGTGGGTGTAAGAGGACAAGCAGACATGTCTTGTAATAGTGTACACCCCCCACCCAGTTCAGCATGGCTCAGGAACTGCTCGGTGCTTGGGGTCCAGCTCTAGTTGAGGCCGGAGTCTTGCTCTCGCACATGCTTGCAGGACTCCCAGCAGGTTGGGGGCTGGCCACTGGGGAGGGACGTCACAGTCTGGTCCACAGCCAGGATGATGACAGCTAGGGGCATTCTGGTCCCCGAGGTGGAATGGGCTGTAGTGGGGCCGGAGCAGGAGGTGGCAGCCTGAAGCGAACGCTTTTGGGGCAGGGTGCAGTGGTACCATGGGGGAGCACAAGTGCAACACTCCCCCTCACCTGTGCTGCCCTCCCCATCCCTCTCTGTTTGCCTTTGCAGACACAGGGAAGGACAAGCTGCTGGACCACGCTGTGCTGCTGCAGGTGATCAAGGAGCAGCAGGTGCAGCAGAAGCAGCTGCTGGACCAGCAGGCCAAACTGCTGGCTGTGATTGAAGAGCAGCACAAGGAGATCCACCAGCAGAGGCAGGAGGAGGGGGGTGA